TAATACAATTTATTTTTAGGAGACTTTTATGTTTACAGAGAGATTTGTGACAGTACAGAGAGTTCTCATCTAAACTGAGAAAGAGTTCCTCTCTTTGGGGAGTGGAGATGAAACTCAGGGTCTCATGCACGTTAAGAAAGCATGCTAGCAGCCAGGCAGCGGTGGTGAACGCCTTTAATCCCAGCACTTGGGAGACAGAGGCAGGCGGATCTCTGTGAGTTTGAGGCCAGCCTGGTCTATAGAGCTAGTTCCAGGACAGCCAAGGGTTTATGAGCCATTTCCAATAGCCTGCAACCACCATCGCCCTCCCCGCAAAAAAAAAAAAAAAGCTATAAATAAAACAAGAGGGTATAAAAATACAGGAAGATGGCCCTGTTCAAGGAGAAATCCAGACTGTCGGGGACAGGACACATCCCATATTTATGGACAAACACCAACAGAAAGGAATCCAGAGCACCCTCCTCAGTCAGTACCACGTGATACAAAATAGTTCATCACACAGGTTCATCCTCATTTCCTTGGCCACCCTCCCGTAGTGAGATATGCAAGCTTGAGCCCACCCCCAGCTTCTTTCTCCCCATTGCCCTCTGCAATTGCATTGTTGAAAATCTTTGTATGTAAATCTTTTCAGCTCTGTTTACAGGTCTTCCCTTAAGACAAAGCCTCAAACTGTACAGTTCCTAAAGAGTCTCGTGTGTTTTGTGTGTACATGTTGGTATGTGTACACACGTGTGTGTGCAGGTGTTCGTGCACATGCATGTGGAGGCCAGAGGTCAGCATCGATGTCCTCCTCAATTGCCCTCTGACTCGTTCTTAACAGTCACTCCTCATAACCCCTGAGCCACTGAACCAGGGATGAATGAACACGAAGCCTTCAGGGCATACTCAGTGGTGGCTATCACAACATATGTCTCATGAGTAGCCAGAAGAGAGCCAGACTCCAGGGTCATCTTTCTAGAAAGAAGCAGGAAGCACTTTGGGCTGGTGATGGTCTCCTCAGATGGCTATGAAGATCAGACTTTCATCATGGGGGAGCCTGGCTGTAGAGCCAGAAGCCATGCCCTCCAATCTGAACTTCATAGAGGACTGACTATATGACCTTACACTTTTGAACGTAGGTTTTTCTTACCTGAAAACTGGGAGTAGTAATAGGTTTTATTCACTCCTCCCTTCCCTGGGTTTACAGTCTGTTCATTTCCTTCTGTAGCACAATCTTTATTCTGCCTTGTGTTTTGGGGGAGTAGCCTTAGTAACTTCGCAAGGGCGGGATTCCAGCCCTTACTGTCCCTGTAGTCCTCAAAGCCAGCCTCAGCACCTGCATGCAATGAGTTAATCGGCTAGGGTCCAAGCAGAAGGCAGAAAGCACAGTTACTTGAACAGGTGGAATGTAATATCAGGAGCTATTAAGATCTGGTGGAAGCAACTACCAAGATGGGACAAGAACACAGTGCTTACTCTTGAGCTGAGAAAGAGATGTCCAAGGAAGGACAAACTTTGAAAGGGCCCTGTCTCCATGGCTAAGGTATCATATGCTGACATCCCTGGAAAAGCTGTGGCTGTCACCCCCAAGATAACAGAGGAATTCCTCAGCTGGCTGCCAGGCACTGAACAACAGAAAGTTTTCTGGGACACAGGCAAGGTGAGGGTAGAGGCCAGGTGTGCCAAGGGAGTTGGCACACACTCCCTATGCAGGGCTGAAATGCACACAGCCTGCATCGTGAGGGCCAGAGCGAAGTGGTTCCTGGGCCCGCTGCCAGGACTGCAAGGTCGGTGAGTAACTGCCCTCTGGGCACACAGCAAGGCAGAACAACATCTCTTCCCACAGACTGTACACACACCCTCCAGGATCCAAGCCTGAAAAAGGCTAACCTTACCCCCAATAGTTTCCCTATATCGCCCCCTATTGGCAATGCTTTGGTAGTACATGCTCTAGACGGCAAATGCTCACATAGGAGGGCCCTTCCTATGTTTAAAACCGAGAAGCAATAATGTGATTTGTGGGTGAGTATTTTTTCCCTTAAGTTCTAATTGCAGTTGGGGAAATGGTTCAGTAAACAAAGTTCTTGCCACACAAGCAAGAAGACCTGAGTTTACATACCCAGCATCCCCATAAAAGCCAGGTGGGATGGCACCTATTTGTAATTCCAGTATTAAGGTGGGGTGGCAGAGATGGGATCCCTGGAGCCCCTGACCAGCCAATAACCAAGTGGACGAGATCCAGGTTCAATGAGAGACCCTGTAACAGAAGATAAGGTTGAAGGCCTGTGGAGATGACTTAGTGGGTAAATGCACCTGCTGTGCAAGCATGAGGGCCTGAGTTCAAATCCCCAGCACCCAAGTAATTAGGCAAGCATGGTCATGTGCTCCTGTAACTCCAATTGTGTGGTGGCCTGGAGACAGGAGGATCACCAGAGCTTGTAGGCCACCAACCTAGAGCCAAGATCAGAGAGAGACCCTCTCTTAAGGTTATAGGGCCAAGAGTGATAGAGCTGGACATATGACATCCTCTGTAACATACACACACCTTCACAACACACACATGCTAACTTAATTAACCTTTAAAAAATAGTAAAGCTAATAATGAAAGAAGACAGCTGATATCAATCTCTCTGTGTGTGTGTGTGTGTGTGTGTAAGAGAGAGAGAGAGAGAGAGAGAGAGAGAGAGAGAGAGAGAGAGAGAAAGAAAGAGAGAGTATAATTAATGAGTTAAAGCCACACAGCTTGCCAATGGCTCTCTTAACACTTGCCTATGTCCCTTTCTTTGAATACCGTACATTACACCAATAAATGTCAAACCTCTTCACTTCTTTAGTAATTTACTGTCTAGAAAGCCCCATCCCCTCAGGAGTTCTGTTCTGTCTTCCTTCTCCTCTTGGCTTACACACAAGAAAGAGTGAGAGACTGGCTGTGACTCCCACAATCCTTCATTTCGCAACTGATTTCTCCACTCAGACCTGAGTGCTTTGCCCACTGTCTGTTCCGTTTCAAGGCAGTCCACCTGTCCATCCCAGACAGTAGACGTGCCCAGAAGCACGGGACTTCAAGGGGCAGTGGGAGGAACCTGGGTTAATCTAAAAAGCCAAGCTTTCTATGCCTTTGAGGAATGTGCCACAGGCATCTCAGGGCAGGCTTGGATGTTCATGTCCCCTGACCAATTAAACCTCTAAACATATTAAAAGAGTAGGCAGTTGGGGGGCTGGGGGGATGGCTTGTTGGGTAAAATGCTTACTGGTACCCAGCGCCAATGTAAAAAGCTTGTGTATGGTGGCATAAAGTTCTGGGAGACAGAGGCAGGATTCCAGCGGCTTACTGGCCAGCCTGCCTAGCTCCAGATTCAGTGAGTCACCCTGTTTCAAAAATAAGGGAAGAGTGATAAAGGAATTCTAGCTTGCACAGTTCATGCACGGCCACTTTCGCATACACACCCAAAAACAGAGGAAGAAGGAAAGGAAAGAGATGGATGATAGAGAAAAGAAATGGCAGGCTTGGCAGGTAGGTTCCTGGATGACCTCTGGACTAACATGTTCAGGTGAAGGCACCTCTGAGGGGTGTGTTAATAGCAGCCATTGTGAATCAAGACGATGTTGGGGGGCATCTGTGATTTTTGTTCTTACAAAGTACCCCCTCCTCTGTGAAAGAGTGCATGTGATGGAATCGGTGGTGACGGATGAGCCCTGCAGGAGGTGGGATGCAAAGATACCCTCCAAGGGTAAAGTGGCTTTCCAAACCTAATCTGCCTACTGCACTTCAGAAGCTGCTGCATCACTTCAGACCAGAATATGGACAGGCGCTCTTGTGCCTGGGGGGGGGGGTGCTTCTGGGCCAAAAGAACCTAACCAAGCTGTACCCTATTCACATACCAATGAAATCACACTCTTAAGTGATCATAAAAACACACATTTGAGTTGGGGGTGTGGCTCAATGGGTAGAGAGTTTGCTTAGTGTACATGAGGCCCTGGGCTCAGTCCTAAGAACCTCAAAAGACCAGGCATAGTGCTGCAAGTCATTAGTCTCAATACTGGGGAGTGGAGGCAGGAGGATCAGGAACTCAAGGTTGTATTTGGCAGCCCAGGCAACAGTGAGCCCCCATCTCAAGAAAAAAAAAAATGCTGTGTGTAGTGGCACACCCCTTTAGTCCTAGCACTTGGGAGGCAGAGGCAGGTGGATCTCTGTTTAGTTCAAGGCCAGCCAGGGCTATACAAAGAAACCCTGACTTTAAAAAAAAAAAAAAAAAAAAAAAAAAAAAAAAAACCCTGAGCAAAGGAGATAGCTTGTGTTTTTTGTTTTTGTTTCTTCTCTTTGATTATCTGTTTTCTGCAATTCGAGTGTATTTGTAAAATAAATGCATAAAAAGGAAACGTTAATGAGGGGCTGGTGAGCCGGCTCCACAGGTAAAGGCGCTTGGTGCCAAGCCTGACAACCTGCATTAGATCCCCAGGACCCACGTGGTGGGAAGAGAGCCCACTCCAGCAGCTGGCCCTCTGCCCTCCACACGGGCACCGTGGCATCCGTACACACACAAATAAACAAGTGCAACAAGCTGCTGCTTCTTTTTTTAATGAACGAAAAGGCACACATATTTTTCTCCCCCTAATCTTGGGCTGTGTCGCTGCTTTTTGTCTCCAGTCTCACCAGACCCCCCCCCCCAGCCTCTGCTCAGATGAGCTGCCAAAACTCAGCAGTCTTCAATTTTTTGGAAGAGATTTTTGGGAAAGATTTACTTCCTCATTCTTGAACTTCTAAAAACAGCCCACTTTTTCATCTTCCCCTCAGCGTGCGATGACAGATGCCACACCTGCCTCTGACATGACAAAACCTAAGTGAGGAATAAAATCCTGTCATGATTCTCGCACATTCTGTGGCAGGCAAAGCTCGGGGTGTGGGGCCATTAGGAGACGCCCTGTGGGCTGTCATCTTGCCCCCGGCATCGATGTCCTAGTCACGGGCACTCAGTGGGATTTCAGTCACTGACCTTTGATGTGTTGCTCTGTCCCTTCAGATTTTTGACAATGAAGCCAAAGACCTGGAAAGAGAAGTGTGCTTTATCGATATAGCTTGTGATGAAATCCCTGAACGCTACTACAAAGAATCTGAGGTGAGTGAATAAAATGGAAGAATTATATGTCCGTTCATTCATTCATTCATTCATTCATTCATTTATTCATTCCACAGTGATTTAGGAAGACCTTTCCATCTGTCTTTATGTTCATTTGGTTTAGTCCTGACATCTCCCTGAATTCTTTAAGATGGATTTTATTTATTTATTTATTTATTTATTTATTTATTTAATGTGTATAGGTGTTTTCTGTCCACCAAATACATGCAGTGCCTCCAGAGGCCAAAAGAGGGCATTGGATTCCCTGGAGCTGTGGTTACTGATGGTTGTGAGCTGCCAAGGGGGTTTCTAGGAATTGAACCCAGGTCCTCTGAAAGATCAGCCGGCTTTCTTAACCACTGACCCATCTCTCCAGCCATCTCTGGGTTCTTTAATGCAAGTCTCAGAATGAAGTCTCCGAGCCCATCACCAAATCCTGCTGCCACTCCCAACTCCATCCATCACCATCCCACTTGACATTGGGCTCCCTGGGGCTAAGCATTCAGCACACTGGCTTTTTTGAACTCAGCAGCCTGTCTGTGTGAGGACACAGATAGCATTTCATTTCTGTCTTTGGAATTTAACATAAAGAAAATCCTCAATCAAGCCTCAAAACTTTGATGGCTCGTGTTGGCCCAGAAACCATCCTCTCAAAATAGCAGGCACCTTCCTGAGGGTGTCTCTTCTCAGCTGAGAATACATGAACCAGAACATCTTCCCCTCTGGCTTGTCCCCTGCCAGAATCTGCCCTCTGCCTTGCCACCCCCCCTTTATGTCACTGTTGGTGCCAGTCACCATTTATATCCTGTTAGGATCTTATTAATGGCTACTTATAAACAGCGTCCCAGCCCTGGGATGACCACAGACACAAGGCTATTTTTGTTGTTTAGCTACCTGCAGCCAATCATAGTCTGTTTAGAATTGGGGCCTCGGACTTGCCCTTGAGCTGTAACACATGGACCTTGAAGCTCTTCCCTCAGAAGGTGCCATGCATAAACCCACTGAAAGTAAATTCCAAGCTACTGAGGTGGTTGTACAGTTAAGGTGCTTGCAGCCAAGCCTTAATACCCTCAGTTCAATCCCTGGGACCCACCTGGTGGAAGGCGAACAAACAGACTCCCACAAATTGTCCTCTGATCTCCATACACTGCTCGAACACACACACACACACACACACACACACACACACACACACACTTAAGTAAATAATAAAATAAGTACATAAAGAAATGTTTAAAAATTTTTAAGATTAAGTTCCAGTAGGTAACAAACTGCCTTCTGAATTATATCTTTCCTCCCCATTGGGGGACTTGTTTGGCTAGAAGAGTCTTACTTGGTTTTAGTAGATACACACCTGAAGCCATTGCAGGCTGGAGTTAAGGGACTTTGGTCCCTAAGGTTGGGAAAGGGATGGTTTGAATCACTCTATGTCACACACATTCATCCAAAGGCTAAGTATATTGTTGTCATCAACTTTATTAATCTCTACAGCTAGCCATACCTGTGTGCTTTAAGAAAAACAAAGTTGGGGCTGGGGAGATGACTCAGCAGTTAAAAGTCCTGATTGCTATTCCAGAGGACCTGGGTTCTATTCCATCACCCACATGTGGTGGCTAACTTTAGTTACAGGTCTGACACCCTCTTCTGACCTCTATAGGTACTGTAGGCATCTGATGTATAGACATACATGCAAGCAAAACACCCAGACACATAAAATAAATAAATAATAAATCTCAAAAAAAAAATTTTTAAAGAAAATAAAACTTAAGTGTCCAGATGTTTTTGTTTGCTTGGGAGGTTGAGGCAGGAGAATCTTGTCCCAATAACACCAGGAATGGGGTAGGGGGAGTAGGTATGGGGAGGATGAATAAATTAAATGAAAAGGAAAATTTGGGGGTTTTGTTAGTTTTTTTGTTGCATTTTGTGGAATATTGCACATGCCACAGAACACATGTGGAGGTCAAAGAAAAGACAGAATCTTAGCCCTGGCTTTTATTGTAGTTTATTATGTATGTGTACATGTTTGTGTGTGTTGGAGGACAGAAGTTGTGATCCCCTATCTTCCTCAATCCCTCTTGACCTGATTTTACTTTCAAGATTCATTTCTGTGTGTGTGTGTGTGTGTGTGTGTGTGTGTGTGTGTGTGTGTGTGTATGTGTATGGAGTCCAGAAGAAAGCATCAGATCTGGAGCTGGAGTTATAGCTGTATATGGGCCTCTGACGTGGGTGCTGGGAACTGAGCCCAGACCTTCCGGAAGTGGACGTAACCACTGAGCCATCTCTCTGAACTCTCACTTGATCTTACACTGAACCTACAGCCCGATGATTTAGCTGGACTAGCTGGCTAGCAAGTCCTCTTCACCTGCTCAGACTGTGGTCACAGGCATGAGTCTCTCTGCACCAGGCTCTTCCACATGGGTGCTGAGGATTCAAACTCAGGTCCTCCCATTTGTGTGGCAAGGACTTTACCAACTGAGCCATCTTCTAGCCCCTGAGCCTCCTTCAAAGCTCAGCTCAAACATGACTTCCCTTTGGCGAGCTTTCCTGAGGACCGCCCACCCCCCAGGGAAAAAAAGAACGACTCTCTAGCCTGTGACTTCCAGACCATGCTACCTTCTGCTGATGGCCTTAGGTCATGCTAGCCCATGATAGCTCATTATCACACATTTTTTATAAAGGTGAGAGCTCACTTCTTCATTCTCGTATTTCACCACCTACTTTAACAACAGCTCCAGCTTTGGTGCTTACTCAACAGCTGTTGAAGGAGTGAGTGAAGGCCGAGGGCTTTGTTTTCCCTTCCAGCAGCAGTAATTTCAGAGCAAGTGCCATCAAAGAGAATGGATCTGTCACAGTTAAGCTACCAGTTGTGAATCAGAGTTCTTTTTCCTTCACCTGAGACTTGCTGCCTTGTGGACTTTGTCTTCTGTGCATGCCTCCAGCCTCGTGCATGCAGACATCAGATTGCCAGAGGGCAGAGGCTGGTGGGAGGTCTCTTTGGTTTGGGAGTTTTGGGGGGCTTTAGGAGGGACATTATTTCTGATGTTGATAAATTCAGACCAGGTTTTTCTGGGACGTGCCTCTCCACCAGGATACTGTCCCACACACTGTCACCTAGGCCAAAGGAGGGGATCGAAGTTTTCTTTCTCTTTTTCCAATTCCTTGGGGAGCCCCTAAACCACACAATCAGGAATGCCTCTCTCGTTAAGATGACCAGAGCTGGGACTTTTCCATTGGCTCCTCCTGCCTGACAGCCCTCTTGTCACCACCAACCAGGGATTCAAAGGGACAAGTTAGGGACTCAGGATCAGCTTAGGCCCAACCTAAGGCTCAATTCTCATCATGCAGAGTCCCTGTCTCCTGCCAAACCCACAGCCTGAGCAGCAGCTCCCAAATCTCCTGAACTCGACCTTTATTCTTTTTTTAACTTTATCTGTGTGTTGATGTATTTGTAGACATGTGTGTGCCACATGTGTGCAGGTGCCTGTGGAGTCAGAAGAGGGCATCAGATCCCTTACAGCAGGAGTGGCAGGCAGCTATGAGCCACCTGAAGTAGGTGCTAAGCAGCCAGTGCTCATAACCACTGAGCCATCCTTCCAGCCCCTAGGTTATGACGATTAGAGGGTCCCGAAGAGCTGACTCCATGGGTACAATGCCTCCTCTGCAAGCATGAGGAACTGAGTTTGGATCCCCAGAACCCAATAAAAGCCATATGCTCCTATGACAAATATCTGTAACCACAATGCTGGGAGCAGAGGTAGGCAGGTCTCTAAAACTCACTGACTAGCTGGGTGAGACAATCAGAGCACCAAGTTCAGTCAGGTATAAAGCATTCAAGGATGACACCCAGTGTGTTCCACTGGCCTCCACCTGCGCACAGGTGGCTACACACACACACACACACACATACACACACACGTACGCACTATCAGTGTGGATTTGGAGGGTCAGAGAGAGCACCTCTATTAAGCCTCAGAGACACAGAGACATGGCTGTCTATGGAATCCAGAAAGTTCTTTGTGCCAAGTCACATGCCCAGGCCTGCCCATGCCAGCAAAACAGCAGAGAGGGCGAAGATGCGCTCTACACAGTCTTCACACGCCATGAGGTTGATGCATGGCTTCTCGCTTCTGCCAAGATTTCCACCCTGACTCTCTGAGGCTCTGCCAAGATTTCAAGGTGAAGATCTCAGTGAAGGGGAGGGGACTGTGCAGAGGACACAGGCCAACAGACCCATCTGCACAGCTGAGGTGGCTGTTCTGGGAGAATAAGAACCAACCCTCATCTCCAGCCTGGGCAGTCTCACAGTCAAGTTTACGAAGATCTCGTGTGAGGCAGATAGTGTTGACAGTGGTCCATCTGATTCTCTTGCCTAATCATTTAGTCCATTGGTTCATAGGCTTGACTTCCATGAAGATTCTGCCCAGGGAAAACCATGCATGTATTGGCCTCCTCATTGCTGTCCCTACAGCTCCAGCCCTGCCTACAGTGGAAGGCTCGTCTGTTAAATTTTCAGATATGCTTCCAGTGCAAAGGGGCAGGGAGGGGGAAATAAATGGAATTTCCTAGTCAAGAATGTGGAGGATGACCTGGCCATGGTGGTGCACCCTCTAATCCCAGAACTCAGGAGGCAGAGGCTGATGGATCTCTGTGAATTCAAGGACAGCCAGGGCTACATAGAGGAAACCCTGTCTGGGGGGGGGGGGGGGGGGGGGGGGGGAGGGATGGAGAGGGAAGAGGTGCTATGGTTTTGGTGGCAGTTTTGTTGTTTTGTTGGCCTGTTTGGGTTTTTGTGGTTTGGCTTTGTTTCTAGATTTATTTTATGTGTGTGAGTGTTTTGCTTACATGTATGTATCTGACCACATATGTGCAGTGCTGCGGGCTGGAACTGGGGCTGGAAAACAGCATTGGATCTTCTAGAACTGGAGTTTTCTTTCTCTCCCTGTCATCTTAGAGGATGTAAAGGTGTTCATCTTACTGGTCATAGAGCTTATTCTTTTGGT